TAGGTGAGATTTTGGGAAGGAATTGTTCCCTGGGAGGGTGGGGAGGCCCTGGCACAGGGTGCCCAGAGAAGCTGTGGCTGCCCCTGGATCCCTGGCAGTGTCCAAGGCCAGGCTGGACATTGGGGCTGGGAGCAGCCTGGGACAGTGGAAGGTGGATGGGAGTGGACTGAGATGATATTTTAGGTCAGTTCCAACTCAAACTGTTGTGTGATCCCACGATGGTGAAGTCCCACAAAGGCGTGGTCACTGCAGTGGTCAGTGCTGTGGTCACTGTTGTACAGGGTCATTGCTGTACAGGGTCAGCACTGTGGTCAGTGCAGTGGTCACTGCTGTCATCAGTGTGGTCTCCACAGTTGGGCTCTGTGCTCCCCATCGCTGTATGGACATTCTTCCAAACCCTATAAAGACCCAAACAACACCATTAACATCCCATAACCCAGCTGCAGTGCTCCTCAGCACCCCCGTGGGTGACCCCACCCTTGGGTGACTCCGGCCCTGGATGACCCCAGCCCTGGGTGACCCCACCCCTGTGTGACCCCACCCCTGGGTGACCCCACCTTTGGGTGACCCCAGCCCTGAGTGACCCCACCCCTGAGTGACACCGCCCCTGGGTGACCCCACCCCTGGGTGACCCCAGTCCTGGGTGACCCCACCTTTGGGTGACCCCAGCCCTGAGTGACCCCACCCCTGTGTGACCCCAGCCCTGTGTCCCCCCCTGCTCACCCACCGAGGGTCAGCCAGCACCAGCAGCCGCCTCCAGGGCCCTGGGGATCCTGTCCATCCTCGGGCTGACCACCACAGCCACGCCACCACCCCGGGGTGCACAGGGTCAGGTACAGCACTCCTGTCATCCTTCATCACAGAGCTCATTAATTAAATGTGAGATAAGGGTGAGAGACACGGCAGGAGGCAACCAGAGACTGGAGAGAGATCAGGAGGCTGGAGAGCAAAGAGGGAGATGCAGAGGGATGGGGAGAGGGTGCAGGGGCAGGGAGAAGAGAGAAATAAGGGCAGAGAGAAGGCAAAGAGGGAGATGCAAAGGGATGGGGAGAAGGTGCAGGGAGAGGRCAAAGAGCAGACACAGGGAAAGGGAAAGGGCTGAGAGGCGGCAGATAGGGCTGAGGAAGAGCAGAGAGGGAGGAGCAGCAGGGACAAGAGAGGAATGGCAAAAAAGTCCTGAGAGGGCAGAGGGTGAGGTCAAAATGAGGAGAGGCAGACAGGAGAGGCACAGGCTGGGAACAGAGAGAAAAGAGGCCCAGAGAGAGAGAGGAATGAGGCTGTGAAAGGAGAGAGGCAGGCACAGGGAGGAAAGAGGGATGAGAGAGAATTCAGAGCTGACCCACACAGCARGCAGGAGGCACAGGGAGRGAGCTGAGGGGCAGAGAACACGCAGAGATCAAAGAGATGCCACAACACCCTGCTACCCACCCCTTCCCTTGAGGCACGGGAGCCAGCTGCCCTCCTGCTGCCCCAGAACCCCAATCCCTGCTCCTTCWGCCCTACATCCCAGCCCACCCCAAAAAAAACCCACCAGAGCCACGCTGCAACCCCAACCCAACCCTCAGCTCGGCTGTGCCCCTGCCTGGCACCCCAAAACCCCCTCCCCATCCCTCCCTGGGTGTTGCTGCTCCCCATCACACAGGAGCCGGCGCTTACCAAGGATTACAACACTCTTTATTCCCACGCAGCCGTTTCACAGAGTACAAACACGAGACAAGACACCAACACCCACAGCCCCCCCCAACACCCACCAGCACCCCGAGGCTGCTCCCCGTTCTTCCACCGGGCACCCAACCCCGCTCTGACCCTCRATCCCTGCGCGCCACGCCAGCACGGCAGGGAATTCCACCCCTCCTTCCTCCTGCCCGCCACAAAGCACCTCTTTTCCAAGTGTTGGCACCAGCCTGTCACCACCACAGCACAACACCAAGGTTCCCAGAGCCCCACGGATGAGTTTGGCTCCCTGAACCAAACCTCAGCACCACAGAGAGTCACAGGGTGACACGGTCCCAAGGTGTCACAGCGTCCGGTGATGGCAGCGCTCCGGCTGGGATTTGTGCCCCAATACCTACCTCTGGTTGAGTCTGTGAGCTCCAAAGGCCCTGGTGGCAGCCCCCAAGGACAGGGGACACCCACAGATGTCCCTGTGAGGGGACAACACGTGCTCCATCCCGTCCCACACTGCTGMCAGCAGCGTGGGCCACCTACAGCRCACCCTAAAAGGGAAACCCGGGGGAAAAGCTGCAAAACCCCTCCTTGAGTCCTCATCAACGATGGAAAGCTGTAAAAAAAAAAAMCCCAAACCCCAGTCCCACACCAGTGCTGTTGACCATCCAGCTCCGTCCCGCCGGTGCTGCTGCTGTGCCGGCCGCGTGTCACCGTGTCACCTTCACCCGGGGCAGCGTCCCGGGGCTCTGGGGTCCCGTCCCTCGGCCTCCTCGCAGCACGGCCGGGTGGCAGCGGCGTGGCCACTGCGGGGGGGGCTGTCTCCTACCCTACAAAGACTCAGGCTGACGCGAGAACAGTTTTTGGCTGGGCGGCGGGGCCGCGCCTACGAGGTCAGGTGCCGCGGGGCTGAGCRCAGCCACAGCCACAGCTGGGCCGCCACCACCAGGGTCACTCGGGCACGGCGCTCCCCTGACGAGCTGGAGGCTGCCAACACAACAAGAGCCACGTCACACGGTGCTCTGGCACTCGTTCCCCCCTCAAATCGTGCCAGGCTGGTGCCCACCCAAGTGCCCAAACTGTTGCTGGGCCGCCCAGGCTCTGCCCGTGGCATCTGTTCCGTTCTGCACCACGTTACGGAGCATCATCTCCCTCTAACTGCCTGCCAGCTCCTCAGAACCTGCCAGCAGTGGCCTCAGAGCCCTCAGGTGACAGGGACAGGGCACATCTGGCTCCATGACCTCCCCACACCTCCTGTCTGCAGCATGCCATGTGTCCTAGCCACCTGCCCCACGCTGCTCRCCCCRCAGCCCCTCGGTTTGGGGGTGRCAGTSCCTGCTGTGCCCACCCCRACCCCGGTACTTGCCCCTGCAGCTCTTGCCGTCCCCCTGCAGTGTCCCTGTCACACAGCTGCACAAGGGCCCGTCCGCCTGGCTCGTGCAGATCTGCTCACAGCCTCCGTTGTCCTCGCACCAGTCCGACCCTGGGCACAAATGGGGACAGATGAGCCACGATCCC